GTGGTCAGCCAAATTGATTCTATTCAAAAATTGTGTATATGCATACGGTACGTGTTCCCTGTTTTCTTGTGTTTATATGCATACGGTACGTGTTCCCTGTTTTCTTGTGTTCCCGCGCGTCCTTGGAGAGACTGCTGAGCTGCTGAGTCACTCACCAAAGAACAGGAAACAATGACAGTGTGTCAGAGAGTGTTGCAGCCAAGCAGTCTCTCCGAACGATGATGATGAACCCATGCTAAAAGACATTGGCCTTTCAACTCTTTCGCCCAAGTTCAGCTGAGAAGAGATACAATAAAAGAGGACCCACAGACGAGATTGTGACAATGGCGACAACAGCATACGACCGACCGTTTGTCTCTTGTGAAGACTCTTTGCCCAGAGTGGCTGGTGCCTTCAACTTTGTATGCACAGTTTCTTCCATTGCCATCATGGTAGTGCCACTTCAGCTATGTGGTCGATTCATGAAGCAATCATACTTGGAAGCAAAAGTGTACTTTGTGTTTCTGTTTCTCACGTTTGTGTGGAACTTGATGGAGCATGCCACTGGAGTTCTGGGTCCTCCCTGCATTGAGTCGATTGGATGCTGCTCCAATCTGTGGCTAACAGCTCTGCTGCTCCGAATTCAGGGATGGGAAACGATCGTGAACGAGGTCCGCATGGTGGCTACGCTCTTATCCATTCTATCAATCATGATTGGGTTTTGGAGCATACACGCAGAGATCAAGGCGTACTATAGCATTGCCACACCTCTCGTCATTTACATTTTATCAACCATGGGCAGACTCAGCTATGACAATCCAGTTGCTTGGAGGTATTACACCTGGTCACTGATTCCGGCACTGACAATGGCAGTTTCATTACCATTGGAGCCTTCTTGGTGCAATCTGTGGGACACAGACAACAGGGCTCGTGCTTTCTATCATGGAATCTACATTCACACCTTGGCCACCGTCTTTCTGCGAAATGTCGCATCTTGTGTGTTGGAGCTAGTCGACAAGGCCGAAAAACAGCGAGAATGTATCAAAAAGCAGCTCTGAGGGTCAACGATACAGTCACGATGATCCCAGCAGGACCAACAATAGAAAATACAGTGACACAGGAACAAAAGGCAAGAGGCAGGCATCCGCAAGTTAGTGCGGCTACTGGTACGTCTACAAGCAATCGACTCTTTCATCCTTGCTTTTGTCAGCCGGTAGCAGACTGCTTGAGTAGATTGAATCATTGGATCATGAAATAGATTCATTGTTTCTTTCTTCGTGCTGATTTAAAATACGAAAGCTCTTGGTCTCGCACGCTTGTAAGATAGCCTTTTGTAGTCACCAGCGCTACTACAGGCCTCACACAAGGAACTACACTCAGCTAATTCCTGGTCCTGGAAGCCCTCAGACCAACCGCAGACCAAGCCCGCAACTCGGACCAGGTCTGAAGAGACACCTGGCCCCAATCAGCAGCAAGGCCTACCGTAGCCACACACCAGGACCCACTAGTAGTCCTGGCCCAACCACACTAGGCAGAACCCACTCCAAGACCTACGACTAGCCCAAGTCCGGTCCCAACACAAGGACCCCCTCGAGGACTCAAAGCAGGACCAACAGCCTGGCACAAGTCCTGACCCAAAACCTGGACCTGCACCCGGCCCTACCGTACTAGTCATGCATGCCCAACACCTGGCCCGAAACCAAGCCCAAGACCAGGAGCACCCACCAGGCCGTTGCATCATGTCCCAACAAGATTTGCAGGAGCATCTCAAAGGAAGTTGTAAGTGTCGGTAGTCGAGGTTATCCGAATAGCAAGACAATCAAGAAGGTGCTGCCGGACATGGAGCTTCAGTTTGATGTGTAGTTTCAAGTTGTGATCGGAGATTGCCACCCGAGAAGCCACCCGATAGAGGAGGCACAAGGACTGAGTTGGATTAGAGCGACCAAATCAAGGACCTCATACCAATGATCCATTGAGGGTGGGGCATTCATGATGATGAACATGCGAGGCCTCAATTCCAGGATGACTTGATTCAATCCAATCACACCAGCCATCATCCTTGCATCCGTCGCTGTTTCATGCTGATCTACATAAAAGTACATACAAGACGGCCTAGAACCGCGTTGTTCAAACGGCGCTGCGAACGCCCTTCCTGGACCCGTAGGCAGGGTATCTACTTTTAATTAAGTTTGTTGTATTTATTTTATAAAGTTCTCCTGTCGAGTTTTCAAAGTGTACCGTTGCATAGATATGAAAAGAAGTGCAACCAAAAGGTGATGGCAAGGTTGATTGGTTCAAAGCATGTAGGAAAAGAGCCACCGCCTAATCTAGTCTTCAGGCTTTATCGGCGCCTGAAACACTGCTGTGCCGATTGAATCGACGACCTACGTAGCCATCTAGACCATTTGACGTTGTTCGTTGTCCTTTCCTCTGACACCCGTACCGTCCTCACCTGCAAAGTCCTTCATCCATGTGTTAACCTTGGATTGCTGTAACTGTTCCAGATGAACAACATAAGACGAAATGTCTCGTTCTTTCTTGAATCCTTTGAACAGGGCAGCGGCTGGTTTGGTAGAATGGTGCTTGCCGGCGTCGAACTTACAGGCCGCCGCAGACAGTGAATTATTGCCTTCGCTATTCTTGGACAAGACGATGGAATGCCCGACAGGAGCACCATTGCCATTGTCCTGAGGCGGTGCCGAGCATTTGGCATCTGAGACATACTCGAGTCGCATCACTTTGAGATTAGGGAGCGAATTGACCTGCTGCCGAAAGACCTTGTTCCCGACCTTGGGTGCGCCAAAGGGTTGGCAACTAACGCGGACCATGGGTCTGTTGCTGGCATATCTGTACGCACCCAACGTGGCCATGCAGCCGCCCCAAGAACTTCCGGTGAAGATCACATCGCAGAACGGATTGGAATCCAAGAGCTGGTCCAAGCAGTCAAACACGCGGTGTTCCAACTCCATGTACGCTTGCTTGAGCGGTGAAAAGACTTTGCAGTCTGTTCCATCCATGACCAACGGCTCCATGGGCACCTGATACTTGGGTTTGGCATGGTTCTTTTTGAAAAAGCCCACCTTACCCGCTTGCTCGGGAGTGGTTCCTCGAAAGACAATGACAAACTGCATCTGCCGTTCGAGAATGACAGCTTCTCGGCGAGCGTCCGCGGATCCAGCATTCTCTGTCGCAAAGAATCCAACCACCGTCACATCCTCCGCCGCTTCCAACAACGACTCGACGACTGGCTTGTGAGCTCGTGTGAGATTTGGAGGTGCCGCTGCCATGTCGTTGCTTTCCACAAAGGAGGCCATTGCCAATCTATTCAATCCCACCAAGGACATGGAGAGATCCATGTTCATGTCTTCCTTGCGGTAGTGTTCGACAAACTGCACCAACCTTGCAGCCACTAGAGTTTGCTCCAAGGTTGGGATTTCCATCTGAAAGGGTGACGGATCTTGTTCGGAAGATCGAACGATTTCGGTTCCGGTCAAGAAGGATGTCGGAGCGGGTTTGGCCAACGAAGGAAGAGCCAAAGACGAAGCATTGGATTCCTGTGCCTTGACGACATCAAAGAGGTCCCTCATCATGGGTGAGGATGGGATCAGATTAGTAACGTTTGCGTTTGCCTTGGTGGCATCGTTTTCCAATGAATCGGCATGCGGAAGCACACCATCAGGAGTTTCCAACGACTTGGAACGACGGTGACGTTGCCAGGGAAGCTTGCGGTGGGGGGTGCTTTGCGGTTCCTTGATAGAGGAGGCAGTCATCGAGGAGCGAAAGGGTGGGGTCAAGTTAAACTTGGGAGTCAAGGAAGCGGCTCTTCCAAATTTGGGCTTGACACTCTTTCCTCCACTAGTACTACTAGTAGGAGTGGGCCTGTGAGGACTGGCCGCGGACAAGTCCTTTGCGAGTCTGCCGAGTTCAGTCTTCATTTCGGCATCTTGCCTGGGTGGACTCGGGGGCGACAAGGTCAGATTGGTCATGGGAGTGTTGACGGCAGAAGCGTTGTCTCGTGTCGACTTTGGAGTCAAAGGAGGTTGTCGGGTATCCCTCTTGGCAGTAGAACTGCTTGGTTTCGTAGCACTGTTCAAGAGGGGATCAAATCCGACCAAGCACGTGTTCTTCTGATGATGTCCCACAACGGGTGCCGCAGCTGTGGCCGGCATGGGACGACTGCTGGGAGGCAGCGGACTCAGATTGAAGTTGTTGGGAAGACTCGCGTCGCCCATGGTTAGGCGAGTAGGAGAGTTGTTCTCAGGGACATGATACGACGCTCTGCGGTTGGACTTGGGCGACTTCTTGTTGGCGCCATGCTTGGGCGACTTCTTGGTCGGCGACACGGAAATACCAAACCCATTCACAGAAAAGGACCTGTAGTTCCTACGAGGGGATTCTGGCGGAGTCCGCGAGGATGCGAAGATAGGAGCTACCATGTCGTCGGGAAGTGGACTGTGGGGGTTGTTATGTTGTGTGGGTATGATGGCTGGTTCGGCAGATGTCATGATTTGTGAGAAAAGACGAAGATGAATGAAACTCAAAGAGAAGGCCGAAATAGCAAGCTACTCGTAGGAAGGATGACTGTCTCGTCGTCTACGCAGGAAGGAAGTGTCCCCGGCAGAGAAACTGTAGGAATGAATGTCTCTGGTTAGGGAGGTGCGCGGAAGTAAAACAGAAGTGTTGTGGGACAACTATTTCTTGGTCTTGCTGCAAATTCGAGTTGACGGCTTGACGTCCTGGGGAAGAAGGATGCCAGACGTTGAAGTCAATACAGCTTGGTCGTGCTACGAATCGCTTCGGTTACCTTCAGATAGACTAACTAATAAGGTCAACTATCTCATCAAACAGCCACTTGTTGTGGGTGCGGTAGCTCTTGTTGACTCTTGAAGATCTGATAGCTGTTATCAGTACCGCCATCAATGCTGGTTGTTACTTTTGAATGGGGAATGAAACATTGGTGTCAAACGAATGCTAAAAAGGGAAATTCCCTGAAAAATCCGAGGAGGCCGTCCAAGGAAGGAGACTTTAATTACCAAAAGGGTTCAAAAATTACCCACCAACGGTTTGCTTGAGGTTATGATCATACGTCACAGGATCACCTTTTCATTTTTGCTTGCAATTTTAAAGACATCGTCAATTGAAGATATCAATCAAAGATACGCACTTACCAAGCTCCCCCAGGAACATTCCGTGACGGGTTGGAAAAGCTCTTGGAAACATCAGTAACATGAGCTTCCCTCCAGCCTCTACAGCTGTACACTCCCAGCCATCTCCCTGTGATTCCCCACCACAAGGGCCCTACTCTGCGGCTCCACCAGGAACAGTTTCC